GAATTACCAGTTGTCTAATTGGTTACTTTTTTGTTTACTGCATTAATGTTAATAAATAATTGTGCGAAGTCACAGCCTGACCCACATAGACAGACAGACAGACAGAGTGAGCTGATATAAGCTTTGTAAAAAGCTGAAAAATATAATTTTTGATAAGACAAAATTGTTTTTAGTTCACAGTTTCTTCAAAAATGGTGATCAAACGAGAAGTGGCCTACGGCATTGTCCAAGGTTTGAGTGACTTCTGGAAATCTGAAGAACTGCAAGATTTCACTGTCACACTTGGTACAACAAAGTTTGAGTGTCATAGGTTTCTGCTGGCAGCTTGTTCTGGGTTTTTTAGAGGACTGTTTAGATCCGGCATGAAAGAAACGGAACTAAAATGTGTGACTGTTGAAGACATCTCAAGTGAAACTTTTGAGTTGATCCTGGAGACTCTGTACACTGGTGATGGTGTTTTGACAAATGACAATGTCATTGACATCTGGCGAGCAGCTCATCAGCTACAAATAATGTTTCTGGTAAAAGAATGTGAAGATTTTGTAATTGACACTTTATCTTTAGAAAACTACATAAAATATTTTAAATTATCTAGGATTTTCAACTCAGAACCCGTAACTAAAGTAGTGTGGTAATTCATTGTTAGAAACTCAAGTCATTTCTTTAAGACAAACAGTTTCCTAAAGCTATCGAAGTCTAATGTTTTAAACTTGATTACCTGCCAGGATTTGGAGGCAGACTCAGAAGATGACTTCATATATGCTATTTTAAGATGGGTGAAGTTTACGTCACAAAATAAAATTGAAAACCAGAAAGGAAAATGTTCTGATAACACCAGTACAAGTTTAGATGTAACACATACCAGCACTGATGTACATAGAGAGGATACACCTGACCAAAGTTCTTCACAAACAGAAAGCGAAAGTTCATGTAAAACTATGTGTAAGGAAACTTTGCCTCATGAAGACATAACTAGCGAAAGCCCTTTTAAAGCTCAGAAAATGACTAATTTCAAACCAGGCACTAGAGTAAAAGATTTATTTCATTTATTATCCAAAGCAAGACTCTGTCTGGCAAGTCACCATTGTTTAGAGATGCTAATATCTCATCCGTTGGTTCGACCTCACGAGAAAACAAGAGACTTAATTATAAGAGCATTATTCTATAAGTTGCAAGCAGGCAAACGAAATGGGCAATGGCCAACTGGGGCTATCTTCAGAAATACTGATATCTATGCCAATTCTGCTTTGACCTATAGAAAAGACAACAAGAACATAATCGTTCAGACATTTCTATTCTCAAGAAACTCGTGGTTAAGTCTTCCAAAATTAGTCAGTGAAGCAACACTATCTTCGATTCAGTTAGTTGTTCTGGATAAAACTTTATATGCAATGGGACATTTACTTAGTATCTATGATTCCAAAATTCGGGCGAGCTATTCGCAAAACAGAACTCCAATATCAATTATGCAACTAAATGGAGGCTCCTGGTCTGACAAATTTAGTACTTTCACTTTGCCTTCAAGCGTCTTTTCTGTTGTTGAAAACAAGTCATTTATTTATGTCTTTTCACCAAAAGGCAAGGAAGTTTGGAAGTTAGACCCAACAACAGGAACTCATGACCGAATGAGTGATTTACCAGATGAATGCAGCATTTCGTACGTGATGAGCCATGAACATTTGATTCTTGTGTTTTATTCTTGCTCAGATAACGGTGTGGATGAGACTGCCATCGACTGCTTTGATACAAGACAAAATAGTTGGAGACGCCTCAACAATCTTGAAGGGTCATTCAAGGACACCGTGAGTTTGAAAGATGATCATTCTACGTATCTCTTGCAGTCCAGTGGCGAATTGTGGAAGTTGGTCCAGCCTCAATCTAACGTTGTCGATTTTGAACATGTGGTCAAACTCTGGAGTTGTAACTGGCCCCTTCATGGAGCGGTCACTTTCATGGATGACCTCTACATCTACGGAGTTAAGGATGATAATTTTTCCAATGACCCAAAACTAAGAAAATCTGTCAACGGGTTATTTCAAAATATTATTTACAAGCATAGTAAGTCTAATGAAAAGTCAATCTTTATGCCATATATAGTCCAACGAACTGAAATCAAAAGAGCCATATAGAATAGCTTTTTGCTATGAGTACATTTTAAACTAATCATAAATTACCAGTAATATTTAAAACAAACTGTCCACTATATAAAATATAATGTGAGGTGTGTGTATATTTCCCGCATAAATCGAAGCTATTTAACCGTTCTTAATGTAGTTAGATCATTGCAGAAGTCGTAATATATGTTGGAAGCCCTTCCTCCCAGCCACAACAGCCAACTTTGTGGAATTATGATAGTACTAGTGTTAAAGGTTATACCGAAGGGGTCTAACTATGTGTTAGGCACCTAGTTTATATTATTAGTGAGTTAGAGACGCACCATAGGAGACGTATATTGAACGGGACTAGTGACGCTTGGGACATTTTGGGTTAGAGACTGGAAAATCAGTTAGCGATAGGATTCTCTTGGGTAAAGAAGTGTTTGATTTGACAGACTGTGGCCTTTTATTGGATTAAACTTATTATTCATTGTTCATCAGTGTTGACCACATCTTTTCACTAGTTAAAATCGGTGTGTGTTGATTATGTGCTGTCGTTCAACTACATTGCATACACCCGAACAAGAAATCCAAACGCTTGCTGAGTAATTGATTGAAATCTAACAATCCTCTACAGTTGACTTCAGTACAGAATTAAACATACATCACTTATGATAATAACATTATTTTATAGTCTAGGCTCTAAAAGTAGTAGGAAGATGTATTTTTCCCTGTCTAGAAGGCGAAGCAACGCAAGTGCTTATATTGTTTTCTTTTCCTAAGACTCACAGTTTAAAAGACAAAATGCAGTAATTTCCTGAGTCTGGTAGCTTGAAAGATTGCGTTATTTCTTTCACGTGTGGGGGTGTTTTAAACATTAAAAGAACTTAAGTTACCATTAGGTTATTAGACATTAGTATCTAATAAGTTACCATTAGGTTTTTAGACATTAGTATCTAATAAGTTACCATTAGGTTTTTAGACATTAGTATCTAATAAGTTACCATTAGGTTTTTAGACATTAGTATCTAATAAGTTACCATTAGGTTTTTAGACATTAGTATCTAATAAGTTACCATTAGGTTTTTAGACATTAGTATCTAATAAGTTACCATTAGGTTTTTAGACATTAGTATCTAATAAGTTACCATTAGGTTTTTAGACATTAGTATCTAATAAGTTACCATTAGGTTTTTAGACATTAGTATCTAATAAGTTACCATTTGGTTTTTAGAAATTATTATCTCATAAGTTAACATTAGGTTTTTAGAAATTTTTATCTAATTGAAAAAGAAACCGATGGGTCTCAAGTCTGAATCTCGGGGAAGACTGAGATTTTCAATTTTGGGATTCTCGGGACTCCTCTGCGTTCACCCATCTCAACATGAGTTGGGCAAAGTAAAGGCAGTTGGCTTTCGAGAGATACAAAAAATCGCCGCAAGGTTTTCAGCAGGTTGGCTCTGAAATAGATTTTAATACCACCAAACGTCTTTTTTTTTCTCATACAGTCCTATCTATAGCCATTACATCTTTAGTCCTATCTATAGCCATTACATCTTTAGTCCTATCTATAGCCATTACATCTTTAGTCCTATCTATAGCCATTACATCTTTAGTCCTATCTATAGCCATTACATCTTTAGTCCTATCTATAGCCATTACATCTTTAGTCCTATCTATAGCCATTACATCTTTAGTCCTATCTATAGCCATTACATCTTTAGTCCTATCTATAGCCATTACATCTTTAGTCCTATCTATAGCCATTACATCTTTAGTCCTATCTATAGCCATTACATCTTTAGTCCTATCTATAGCCATTACACCTTTAGTCCTATCTATAGCCATTACATCTTTAGTCCTATCTATAGCCATTACATCTTTTCTTTGAGCCGGAGATGTAGAGTTACGTACAATTTGTATTGTCTAGTTGTCATGAAACTTCGGGACTTTTGAAACAGCTGTTGAAATCAGTCATAATTTTTAAAAAATAATAACAACCTTCGCACCTTGCCAATTCACGAACAATATTTATATATATATGTTAGTGACAATACAGGGAAGTATAATCTGCCACACACTCCACTGATTTACTGCTGGTCGATAAGGCTAGATGGCGTACCTACTTAAAGTAGGTCACTTCTGCACAGAGGAAAATTCTTGTGTGTTTCTAATCACGTAAACTATGACTATTTCTTTTGTTACGTATCTAGGTAACAATGCCTAGATACTATTGTTTTTTTTTTCTTGACCTGTAGGTTGTCTGCCCCTTTGTGTAATAAGTTTTTTTTTATTTTATTCTTCAAGAGTCAAGCCACACAGACAGTGACCGGTCCTTGACCTATGTGTGTACCTCTGGTTGAAAGGAGGGTGGTTTTTTTTCTTTTCTTCTGTCTCTTTGAAGAGCGTTCTAGATCTGGGTGTTGATGACTTTCTGTTCTAGAAATTACTAGATATCGACGCGCGGTAGATTATATAAAGACCGCTCGCGTAACGTTGACGGACAGACATACGGAGACAGCCGTGAGACAGAATAGCGGAGACATTGCGTGACCCGTGCGTGGTATACCAATTGATCGTGTAAGTTAAGATTTTTCTTTTTTCAAGGCCTTGCTTGTATTTGTAATTATATTTTCAAACTATTGTATTGTAATATTTTTACATGCCATTTTTGTAAAAGGGTTTTGGTCAACCCTTCCATTTTGTATTGAGTTATATTATGATTAAACATTAAGTTGATATTTTACCTTCCGATTTCTTGTGTCATTTTTTTTTTTTTTGTTATTCATTGTAAGTCTCTGATTAAATTCAGACTTAAGATAAGTGACACAACTACCTTTTTCTATTGTCACGTTCCCCTAGGCAAGCCATTTAAAAGTAGAATTCAATTTGTAATACGTGACACTTTCAAAAGAAAATGGAATGACATTATTGGAATGAAAAGTCATCGATTGTCATGCGCTTATAGAACTTTCGGATATTACATAACACCAAAAATACTTTTTTAAACCCCCCTCCGTTCCTTATAACAAATCGTAACAAAACTTCTCCCCCCCTCTCAAAAGAGTAACATAACAAGAAAAATCGAATATTAGAAAACATTGATTAGTTAATTGTCATTTCCCCAGATTACATGTTTTCACCAATATTTCCATAGAAATGGCGGGAAAAGCCTTGACTTCTAGCGGCGCTTTGATGACGTATTAAGTTTCCCCCCCCCCCCCCCAATACTGTAAACACAAGACATCGGGCGGCCGCCGAATAACCCATCGAAAAACTCGTGGTGTTAAAAAAAAAACGGATATTTTTTCCTTAAAATTTTTTTTTTCAACCCGTGTGTGATGACTTTCTAATTGTTATTGAACAACAAACATCTCATCAAAAGTAACAAACTCGTATAGATCTATTTTATATTAATCTACCTCACAACTACACCGACAAGTCGTTCAATTGTCGTTTTACAGTCCTGACCTCACGTTACCCCCCCCCCCCCCCCCCATCCGCAAGACTGAAGGCGCTGTGACTAAATAACAAACATAAACGAGAGTTAAAATGACAAAATGATTTAAAATAAATGTTATTTCATTTGAACAATTTTTGTTACGTTACAAATTCGTATAGCCCACTCCCCCCCCCTTTAGTCGTTACGTAATAAAGGTAAGTTCCTTTGGCCCTTTAACCGGAAATTTTGGAAAAATAATGGAGATTTTCAAACATGGCGGCAAGTAGGTCAACAAGTAACCTTTTTGGTGTATCCGATGTATAGAATACGGAAACAGTGACATGTGAAGTATTATTATAAACAATATAATTTTGTTTTTGTTTTCAGCACTGTAGAATCTGATGTAGAATCTGATTATACTTTGCCTGTAATAATATTACTTTTTTTGTGTGTACGTATATATGATCATACAATATGGCGTCCTAAACATTGTTTATTGTGTGTATTTATTTACAAATTTCTCCAATTCTTCCAATCTTTCTTTTTTTTTACGTTTGTATTAAGTTTCCCTTATATTGCCACTTTATTTATTCATATCGCTTCTCTTTCTTTCTCTCTCCTATACCCGCTTAATTTTTTTTTAACAAAAAAAAACAAAAACATACAAAGTACTTTAAAAAACAAAGCTTATATTCAGTGTAATTGTATCAATTAGTTTGGATCTGTGATGTCATTACATTTGTAATAGATATAGATTAAAAATAATAAATCTATGCGATTAGAAATATTTTTACAAACTGTTGTTTTTTGTTTTCTTTGTGATTTAGCGCAATTTCATGCTTTTAGCATTCTCAATACACTATGATCCTATCACTTGTTTGGATCAGTTAGGAAAGTGGTTGGGCGCCTCTGAATCCACACAGCTCTAAAGGGTACCTGATATTGGTCGGGTAAAAGTGGTTAGTCCATGTGCTGGCCACATGACAGCCTCGTTAACCGTTGGCCACAAAAACAGATAAGACCACAAGGTCTGAAAGGGAAACACTACTTTACTTTAGACCAGACCCTCTCCAGAATATAGTGCCAGAGCATGGGTCTCAGCAGCCCAAACCAAACTAAGGAAAAGAGACAAGTTCCAAAATATTGGTCTAAGGATAATGATAAGACCAATTTAAACAACACCTATTACAGAAATGAAGGAAATCGACGGCCTAGTCTCTCTGAATGAAAAAAGAGAATTGAAAATATTTACGCAGATCACCTAGCACCAACTGAAAACCAATCTCTACAAGACTGACACTAAAAACAGGCTGAAATAAATTATTTTCATTCAACAATCTATAGTATAGACCTAAAAAGTAAATACATAACTTTTTTTTTTCAACTAAACAGCATAATAATCGATCACCCTGGGACCTAACCTCTATATATAAGAGACGGTATCGAAAACATTGCTAAACAATATAATAATCTGCCCACAATCAAAAAGAGCTCAAAGAAAGGGTGAACCCTTCTAAACATTATCCCAACAACTGATGGATCAAGTCAAGATTTAAACGCAAAGGGATATTATAAATTACAACCGAAAAGTTTCATGTAAGTATATATGTTGTTTGTAAAATGTTTGATATTCCTTCAGAGTTGAAGATAGTTTACTTCCTAGTCCAAACCCGCCGCAGGACGACGGGGGATGGGAGCGGGCAGGGTTTAAACCCGAACCATCGATAAACCCATTATTAATACAGGCTTATCGGAATATTAATAATATTTTTATTTGATAGCTGTTAATATAAATATTATATAGGTTATAAAAAAAGGTAAAGTTACCATTTCAATATAAGTTATACCGCTTAGTATTTGGGAGTGACATATTTCTATTCGCCAGTAATCTAATAATTTAGTTGTGTCATTTAAAATGTGGAGTTTGTTTTATAACAACGAGCCGACCCGCGGCGTAGCGTGCGCCCCCTCCCCTTCTCGCTCTCTGTCACCGCTAAAGTTAAGTGGGGTAACTCTAGTCCGACTTGCAGAAATGAAAGAGTTATGTTTCCATGACCTTTTTCATCGTGGTGTCCCGCATGGTTGGGCCACCAAGAGAATTATATATTGTTATAACTCTAAAGCAAGCACTCAACGAAAGGCAGGAGGTTATAATGGCCGAGGTATTTATTATAAGCTATCTGCAAATAGTTAGACTTGGACTTCCGCTATCAAGTCACAGGGAGTTATGTCTTAAGTTCTACAAGTCCTACTTAACTCTAGAACAGACCACCGACACACTTCCCAGTGTCGCTCCAGGTCTTCCAAACACTTCACTAGTATCACAAAGGACAGAACTTAGTCCCAGACAGTTCAGACTCCCATAACTTCAGCCAGATCTACAACAGTCCTTCTTCAGGTAGAATCAACATGTCTTCTACTACTTGTCGCGCGGGAGTGGAGTTACAACAACATATAGAAGATTTTCTAGGTCGTAAATAGGATATTGAAAGTACTACAGCGTCTGGTGGTCTTACAGATCCACAACCTGTTACTGCAGCTGTGCATCAAGGCTTGGACTCTTTAGTCCCATGAGAAGTTCCAAAGGGAGGTGATCACCTCTCGACATGTAAAATGGCATGAATTAGATACAACATTATTGTGCTTGGTAAATTGTTGATGCATAAAATCTTTCATATTGTTTCCATAAAATATAAAAGAATTATAAGGTTTTTTTTAAAGGAAACAATATTTTACGATTAAAACAAAAAAAAAACAACAAGGTTACAAAGACAGTTTGTGTGGAAACACAAAACTCAAAATCGGCCTCCAAAGTGGTCCACCCAGGCAAGTAAAAAGGCAGATATCAATATTTTTCAGAAAGAATATCGAAATGAAATTCTATCAAACTCAAATGACAGAGAATGATGGAGAAAGAAGGTTGACAGATCTTGTGTGGTGCCCCAACGGTCCAGCAGACCAAGGGATAGGTGAAAGTGAAGCTAGATGTGAACCTGGCCTAACTGATGTCATATAATGATTATCAAATTGATCTAATTGTTTTGTAATGGGTCAATCTCTTATTCAAAGCCTCAAGAAAAAAACATTTCCTTAAAAAAATAAAATAAAAATCTTTTAGCTAGGTATTCCATGCGGTAGTATTGCGCTGTAGTTCACAAGATAATACGAAAAACTACTTATTATTGTTGTTGTAAATTAAGTTCCACTTATATGCATATTACATAGATTTGTTCTCTTTTAAAAAAAGTAAACATTTTTTTTATAACTGTAGTAGTTAGTGCGGAATGTTTGACTTGGTAGAATTTAGGTCATTGGTTACTAAACATGACTAAATGCATGACGCGTAGGACGCAATCATCTTCTTTTTTGAAGTAACGTCTGTATCATATATGATAAGATAAGATAGAACTTACTTAACTTAGCAATACACAATTTTTTTTAAAATCTAAAACCGATTGCATAAATGTTCTAAAAATATTGTTAATAGTCAACTCCCTTGCCAAATAACCTCCTGTGTTTGTTATTATTAATAGTGAATAGTTGTAAAAATAGTGTATTTTTTTGAAAAAAAAACAACTTCTTGCATAGTTGATTTAGACGTCTGATTTTCAATATCTTTTCTAGTTTACGAGATCTAAACGGGGCGGATGGACGGACAGATAGACTACACAAAACTGATTGCCTCCATTCCCCTTTCGGGGGCCGCTAAAAAGAGAATTTTCTTAAATTTAAAGTGTATATTTTCTTGATGGTATGGCAAACGCGACATGAAGCTCTTCAAAATTGTTACTTACAGCTGGGAAGAGGTGGCACTGGATAGATCCACAAGGAGAGCGAGCATAAAGGAAGGGTCCCGGATTGCAGATGTCACACACAACCGTAGTAGAAAGAAGGGTGAAAGTGCAATGATGTCTGGTGATTACATATGCCCAACCTGTAACCCCAGCTGTGTATCAAGGACTGGCCTCTTTAGTCACACAAGAAGTTGCAAAGGGGGAAAGATCTCTGAAGACTTAAAATGCCTCAGAGTTATGACAGAAGATCTCACAGTTTGTTTAGTTTCAAAAAACAATCTTGACTTTTTCAAAACCTTTTTTTTTCAGGATATGACGTGATTTTTTAAACAAAATGTAAACAATTTATTAAGATCTAGATCTAGACAATGTAACATCAATAATGTCTAGACTAGATATAGGCCCTGTGTAGATTTAGCTCTAACCTTTAGGCAGGTCTATATTAGAACATCAAGAGAAATTAAAATAAGGAACTATTTTTTCTTTAAGTCTAGTCTGTCTATGTAACATTTTAAAAAATCATCTACTGTTCGACTGAATATTAAGCTAAAAAAAGTAGGTAAACTAAAAGGTTTACAAGCTAAGAACTAATGCGGATCTACTAATCTACTTATTATACATAAAACACTGAACCATAATCTTCAAATAAAAAAAACAAAATTTAATAAAATACAATGAAAGACACAAAAATAAAGGCACATTCCTCGTCCCATAAGCTAGGACAGATTTGTACAAATACTCCTTCTTCCCTGGTGCTAGTAGAACATGGAATGGGTTGCCTGCACTAGCCAGAAAAACCAGTGACTTGGCAGAATTTAAGTCATTGGTTAATATGCATGACTAAATGCATGACGAGTAGGACGTAATCATCTTCTTTTTTGAAGTAACGTCTGTATTATATAAGATAAGAAGATAAGATCTAGAATAGTAGTTACATACAGAGCTCAAACAGAGACTATATTTAAAAGACGATAGTTTTATGACACGA